TATATAAATATATATATATTATTAATTTTCAGAGCATGTTTTTATGAATTGGATGTCTACTGTATTATTAAAATTCTGTGTTTAATATTATTTGTTCTAATCGATCTGTTGTTGTTGGGATATCATTAAAAACTTATTTCTTTTAAACAATCCCAACTCTATGCATTTATTCAAGACCATTTAAGCTGAACATAGTTCAGCTACTCAAACAGTTAATTTACTGGGCCGGATCATTGAATGAAATACCAACCACTTCTTTGTAGTATCTTCCCCTATTTAGATAGTGTGTTCTCTACATTTTGCAATACATGGGCAAAATTACGAAATAGACTGGGTGCTGAGACTAGTGAAGATTCAACGTTTTCTTAAAAAAGAGAGAGACACTGGGGAATAATAATGGTAATAGAATCTGTTAGAAGCATTTCTTAATTTAAATAAATTGTTCTTTAAACAATATAACTTTTGTAAAAAAGTTTCTATGCAAACACAGCTCTATTTTTATGCATGCTTTATTGATAAATGAAAGAAGAAGAAAAAAAAAAGAATTTTAAATCCAAATGGGTGTGCAAATTTATGCTTTTTTTCCCCAATAGGGATTTTTTGAAAAATCTATTGGGTTCAACCTAGCCAACTCTGAAAAAAAAAAAGCTATGTGAAAATTAATTTAAAAATACGTGATTTTGATATAAGATCTTTTTCTTTTTATAGCACATTAAAACGAGGTCACTAAAGAGTTTTTTTTGTTTTTCGATATTGACTGGTCGCGGTGTCCTATTTAAAATAAATAAAGTGGGGAAATATTTTCGTAAGTTTTTGGGTGAAATTTAATATTTTAGCTGACAATTTAAGGCGACTGCCCACGTTCGGTGAACATATTTTTTAAAAAATAAATTTTTAAAAATTTTTATGCTGAGTTATATAAAATGGGATAAAAAATGACACAAATAAGAAAAATTATAACAATATATTTTATAGTTTGTAAAATTACGAAAAACTGACGATGGTGTTAGTTTTTTTAAATAGGGTAAAAATAGAAACTTAAACTGTTAGCTTCATAGATAAATTGATTGCCATGATCACAGTGAAATAGATATACAAAAGTATTTTTTATACATATAATTTTGATTATTTATATTTTACCATTTCATCAAATAGAAAATTAATATTTTTTTTTTCTTCAGCTTCTTCAATTCCACCTCCTGCTCCTCCAGTTGCTGTTAAAAGGCAAGCCACTTCCTCCTCAACTCCGAGAGTTACTCCTCAGTTGCCTAGAACGGCAAATACCCGAACAGTGACCAAGAAGCCTGTTTCAGGTAAGATTGGGAATACGAATTTCAAACTACCTTATTTTGCCTTGAAAATAGTTCACTGATCTCTCGAAAACTAGGCCCTGATTTACGTTTATGCAAAATTGGTTCGTGAAGCTTTACATTGACGTAACCAAAGATTACAACCAAAAATTGAAATATTTCTTTCTGTTATCCCTTTTCCGTAAAAAATGTAATAAAAAATAACACCTTTTATTGGCAAAAACTTTTATATTTATTTCTTGTGGTTTGTTAATTGATTACGTTTTTTTGTTTTGTTTAATTTTGTATACATTTTTATTTTTTTAATTTAAAAAATAACTTTAACCTGCATGGAGATTTTTATTTATATTTTCTTTGTTTTGATCAAAACTCTGATTCAAGTTCTTTTGTTTTTAAAACATTGCGTGAAAGTTTGTGAAAAAGGATTTAAATGCATTGTTTTTTATTGAACATTAAAAGAAGTGATGACTTTTGAAATGATGTGCTTTGAATTGAGTGATGGGATGTAATTTAGAAAAGAAAACCTTTTCTAGAAATTATTGATATTATAGACTTTCAAAAATAAATGATGCGTGACGTATCTAATTATACAGAAAGAATAATAAGCTTTCCAAAAAAAAGAGCAAAAATTGTAAATATGCGTAGCACATCGAACATCTCACTATGTTGAATGTCTTCAGAAATATTCATTTCTTTTCATTGAGATGCATTAAAAAACAGCCTATATCCATAATACACTCATTTCAAGCACGAGAAATAGTTTCTTTTTAATGCTTACTATCTTGAAGGCTATCTTGATTTCTCGAAATCGTTAAAGGTCATTAAAGAAATTAATTCCGATCTCGAAAACGCAAGTTGGGTTTAATTATTAGATACAAAGATAATTTAATATCGTTTATTATTCACAGAAAGAATTCCTCTTGCAAAGCTATCTAACAACTATGTCAATCACTTCATTTGTTTTGGTTACATACCATAACGTTATATTTAATGTTTTGATTTAATTATTCAATGAAGGCAACATTTAACTCCTTTACTTTAGTCAAGTAAAAACTTCTTCTAAATTTTGTAATTATCCTCAAAAATGTATATTTTTTAAAGTAAAATACGCTACGTGTTAATAATTTGATGTTTGTGAGAGCAAGTTAAAAAAAGAAAAGAATTTCAGAGTTGCATGGACCTTTATTTGCATGCGTTAACTATTTTTGTTTAACAGTTCCTAAAATTCGTATCACATCGGCGACATCTGTTCGGATGAGATCCCCATCTCCAGCAACTTCCTCTAAACCAGAAAGGAGCGTCAAGCAATCACGAACCAGCAAAGGTTAGTAGTATACATGACGACATTTAGTATAAGCTATATTTTCTTATCATTCTTATCATCTCTCAGTTTTTATGTTGAGTCATTCTTTTGCATTCTGAGGTCGACCCGCTTCGTCACATTTCAAAGATATTTTATACAAAATATAAATTTTTATATGAACCAAACCGAATCCATGGCACAACTGTATTTAAATATTATTCTACCCCCTCATCCCATTTTAACACCTTAGTTCGTTTTGAACACTATATCAACCACATTTTTTTCACCGTCTAGCTTTAGATATCTACTTTTACTCGTTCTTTGATTTTAACTTTTTTCAAAATGCGTCCGCTATAATGCATTGAATTTTAGCAATCATTTAAAACATGTGACTTCACACAAACTAATTAAAGTATGAGTTGGGGGGACATTTTAGCAAACTATTTCCATTTCTGTCGTGAGATAATCCTCCTCACTATCGAGTATCGTTATATATTATATGTATATGCTCCAAAAAGGAAGTCACCCATCATTCATTAGAATGCGGGCACCGTTTCTGTTTAAAATTTCTACTTCAGAATGAATCTAAATAGTTACTTCGTAACTCATTTTTATATTTCTGAAAAATGTTTATTCTAAATAAATACTTAACACAGAACTAACTATTCAACACTTCTTAAATTATTACTTAAGATAAACTAACAAAAGGTATCTAAATAAATACTTAACGTATAACTCATTTAACACTACTTAAATTATTAAGACAACCTAAAAAAAGAATAATAACTATAGCGTTGCCAATAGATAAAGAAATACCAGAGTTTATGGTGCCACGTAAAAGAAATATAGATAAGAGTTGTTCTTGTTGCTGTAGTTCATTTACGTCGCACTAGACCTGCACAATGGGCTATTGGCGACAGTCTGGGAAACATCCCTGAGGATGATCCGAAGACATGCCATCACAATTTTGATCATCTGCAGAGGCGGTGGCACCCCCGCTTCGGTTGCCCGACGATCTGCGCGCGAAGTCGAGCACTTTAAGGACCCATACTGCACACCCTCGGTCCCTACGCAGACTGATAAGTGGTCACCCACCCGCACACTGACCACAGACTTCGGTGATTTGCTGGGAACCGTGTCTTAACGATCAGTCCACTGCGGAACAACTCTATCTGAGTGAGTGCCCTTCATATCAGTTAGAATCATCGAAACCATCAATCATATCCTTTCCCTTCATGTTATTATAGAGAAATAAATTAGGAAAAGAAAAAACTTATTGTATCTATGAAAAGTTTAAACATTTCTCACTGTCATAAAGGTCTTTTAGGAACGTCCCATTGCATTTTTTAAAAGAATAATAAAATTATTTTTGTTTTGACTCTTTGAATGATAATCTATTAATGTGAGTCTATTTAATGTCTATGTCCTTACCAATTATTGCAAAATTATTTAATTACAAAATCTAATTGAAGAACGATTATCAACAATTCCTTTCCCTTTTATAATTCCTTCGCCAATTTTCCCTTTTATAACTTTTTTTTTAAAAATAACCTCATGTTAAAAATTTTTTTTAAAAAGTCATTCGTTACTTTATTTTTTGCCACTAAATTATCCTGGCTTAAATGATAAATCTAGCTTATGCTACTTAAACGGGGTTTTTTTTTTTTATTAACTTTGAATGGTTAGTATGGCACTTTCTTCAGATATAAACATTTAAAATAAAGCTATGTTCCTTTTAAGTATTTTCGTTATTTTTAATCTAAATACTTTGATCTGTGTTTAAAAAGTATTTTCTCTTATGTTTTGTTTCACTGCATTGTTTGAAGAATTCACAGCTGTGTATATATCCACGAGAAGCAGTAACAGGTGCGGAAACTGATGTAGAGAGCCATTAAAAGTCATTCAAATTGTTGATCAACTGTATTTACTCAACATTGTTCTTCCTTTTGAATAGGATTTAAAATATTTCTGTGACGTAAATAAAGTTTGACGGAGGCCATATAATAATTATCGATGTATGTTTATAACTGTATTTGAGTATGAACAGTTTCCATGAAAAAAATATAGTTGTTACTTTTGGTTTTTACGTTCTAAATAAAAACGTAGAAATGTCAATCGAATTAGTGGAAACGATAATTTAACGGATATAGCGTTGCAAATCTGGGAAATATATATATGGCGCTCAAAAACGTAGATGGAGCAAAAAATTTTTTTAAATATTTAATTACCTCTCATTTGAACAGATTTGGATCAAATTTTAAATTTTTAGGCTATCTAATTTTAAATGGTCGTAAGAAATTTTTCTATACAATTCAGAAGTTTTTTTTGCATGACATTCATGTCTGAACTGCAATTATTTGCCTGGAGATAAAAGTGCTTCTGTATAGCTTCAAAATGATAGCCTGATTTATGAACCTGATATTATACTAAGATTTATGTAAGAAACGTCTCATTATTTTACTTTTAGTATCCAATGTAGTTTCCGTTATACGTAGTTAAAAAATTTTTAAAAGTGAAATGCTTGATGAACCGAAATATGCTTTTAAAACGGGAGGTTAGAATTTAATTAATTAAAAACTATAGACGCATTTACAAAATTTTACGTTGATAATATACATGTAGTAAAAGCGTTGAAGTGAATAATATGAAATTAAAAAAAAAAAATTCTTGCGCTATTTTATTTGTTTTTTAATCGCTTATAGTGTTTGTCTAGTAAAGGAAAGTTTTTGAGTTTTACCTTGAAAAGACTGATGAATCGAATTGGCAATATAAATTTAAAACGAAATAATTTATTTATTAACGACTGTTGCATAGATTTCAGGGTCAGCGGAGACTTGAAACAGTATAAAAATTTCTAGTTTGTATCCACAGCTTATGATTAATCTTTATAAGTTTGCATTTAGAGTTGTCAAAAATAAGTAGATGCATGATCTTAAACAAATTAAATTTTTTTTATGCATATCTATAATTCCATTTTTAATTTCTCGTTCCGTTTCCTTTGTCTCTTTTTGAGCTTTACAACGATTATGCTAGTCAAACTATTATGTTTGAAGGACTTGAGTGTGGTGGTAAGCCTAGCTTACCGAAGATGACGGCTTTATATCAAACTGTTTCTTAGTATTGTTTCCAGATATATACTTTACAAGTATACGAAATACGAATACGAAATACCACTAGATATTTGCTCAGTAAAAAAAAAACACTTGATTGTCTGGATGGAAATGGTGTTTTTTAGTTGTATTTTTTTTATTTATTTACAATTCTTAAAATAGTCACAGTCTGAACAAGTACTTGACTTCAATATTTCTAATTAATTTCTTTAATAACGAAATTTCTTTAATTTTAAATCCTGTAAAACTTTGTTTGATATTTTAAGTGATCGATAACTTATCGACAATAATTGAATGAATAATGAATTAACTATAAATATTTTGAATAAATACAATAATGCCAGTTTGTTCTATCTGACAAATATGAAATCAAAGGGGAAAAAAATGACTCAGAACAAAATAAATGATAATTTTATTGACATCAAAATATTCATATGTCGACCCTCGTTGCTCTTTCTTTGGCTGTTTAGTATTTGGATTAATTCATTTATGCAATTCGTAATGCGTTAATCTCCAGAGTTAAATTTACTGTTCACTGTCTGTGAATCGGTCTTCACAGCTTTGCTTCTTTCTTCCTTGCCTAATTAAAATGCAAATGAATCAGTATTTCTAATAAATAATTAGTTTCGCCGAATGAACCCAATGAAATCATATTTATTTCACAAACATTGTGTAAGTTGTGTGCAAAATAATGTAAAATTTGCGGGAAAAAAAACTTAAATAAACGAAAAACATAGTTTTCTTTAGCAAAAGAAATTTAATAAATTTATTTTCACTGCAGTGAATGAGTTTCTGTGTTTTCGAACTACTTTTGTGACTAGTGCTGCCATCTAACGAAATATGTTTTTATTAACCTTTTTTGAAAATATAACTTAGTGTACAGTTAGAAACTTATTAATTAGTAACTTATAAATTTTTTGGAATATATTTTTTCTTAAAATTTATCATGCACTTTTATTTTTTTAAAAATTCAAATAAAAGAATTAATGCACGTAAACATGAAAATAACTTTTATGGGGGTCTTTTTGCTTTTTTGTAATGCATAAAGGTTGGCTACATGCAATATTAGTATTACTAATTCTTCTTATTTCTTGATGAATCTATACTATGTAGTTTCAAATAATCAAATCTGATAGTGCTCTCCATAGTTACTATTTTCTATTCTATCTTTTTAGGGGTAATTGCTATTTCTCAATTATTATTAAAACTATATTTTATTTATAGTTATCAAAACTTATCTCATTTATTACCTCATCAATTATCTCACTTCCTTTTACTTTATTCATTTTACTTCTTATTTCCTTGGAGTTATGCACTATAATTATTTCTTTTCTTCTTAAAAATTCTTATTTATCATAATTAAATAAAATCAAAAAATGCATAATAAATAAATAAAGACAATTAAATACAAAAAATCATCTTTTTGGTTAATGTTCATGCTTTAGTTTTAAACATTACTTAAATTGGTTATTATTTTTATTATTTACTTTAATTATTTAAGATAAAAATGCAGGAAATCTTACTAAATAGTCTTAATAAGGCTTTAACTGAAGTAATCGTAGCGTTATGTTTTTTTTTAAAAATTAATTTTTCTTTTTATTGTTATTTCTTTGGAATGACATTAGTTTTATAGAGATTATAAGAGGAGTAGGCGTTATTGGGAATTAACTTTACTTTCGCCAAAGTAAAGTATTAATTTCTTTCATAGGAAATTTACAATTTTTTAGGGTATATTATTTTAGCANATTGTTATTTCTTTGGAATGACATTAATTTTATAGAGATTATAAGAGGAGTAGGCGTTATTGGGAATTAACTTTACTTTCGCCAAAGTAAAGTATTAATTTCTTTCATAGGAAATTTACAATTTTTTTAAGGTATATTATTTTAGCAACTATTATCTACGATATTA